GTATAATAAAATTAAAAAGAATAATTATTTTATTAATATTTTATATAGTATATATTATTATATAATTATAATATATATAAAATTATATATAATATATATAAAATATATATATGGGCCGTGTCGGGCTGTGCCACTAGCCGGGCTACGGGCTGGGCCGTGCCAGCCCGTGGACCTAAAATCCCAGGCCCAGCATGGTCCGCATGGTTGTGCCGAGCCGCTGGCGGCATGGCCCGATTTACACCTCTAGTGATGCATTCACTGCACCATGCATCAAAAGATGTAATTAGTTGAATGTGATGGCAAATAAATCTTATTAAACGTAAAAATACAGTTTATAAAGTGTGAGTTAATGAAAAATAAGCATATTTTAATGTAATTGGTTGAGATTTAGATTTATTATACAGTGAATATTAGTCTTGAATTTGGAATTGTTTTATTCTCATCACAAATAGATTGTGAGAAAAGGGAATCTAGATCACCTGCGAACAAAAGATGTTCCAACACCCTTCCAATATGATCGACACCGCACATCTCATACATGGTGGGCCCCAATCACATGTTAGTAGGATGTTGGACATCTTTTGTTCACAGGTAAATAGGTAATCCCAACTCGAGAGAAGGACAACTTGGGCTGTCATATGACCATCATGTTGGCTGGGTCCGACCCTAGTGTCTGCACCATCCAAATGTGACATTGGACTTATTTGTACGTGTGTGTGTGATTGGGGCAGCAATCTTGGGCCTTGATTTTTGGACGGTTTAATGCTAGGGTCCAATTAAAAATGGTGGACCTCTAGAAAAGCTATAACCACTTCTTGGGAATGGGACATTATCAACTCAAGAGAGGATGCCCACAATTCACAAGATCGCAAGAAAAAATAGTTGTAGATTGGAATCCTTTATCAATGGCAAAGCAAAAGGAAATCTAAAGGACTCTCATACAGTGCATTACTGGGCGCCCAATAAATAATGGACATGGATCCTTTAGGCTGTGTTTGGTTTGAAGAAAAAAGTAGGGAAAGGAAAGGAAAGGTAGGGAAATTCATACAAGGTTTGTAAAAATTTCTTTACCTTTCCCTATTTTTTCCTTTAAACCAAACATAGCCTTAATAGACCCATCAAGTTTCAGTGAATGGCTAATGTGGTGATGGTACTGGTTTTCAACCGGTTGATGTTGCAAGTAGGAATGGCAATGAGGCAGGTTTGGAGAGGGTTTTGTAAATTTTTAGATTCTCTCCGTCTCTCTAAACCTCCTAACCCATATTTGTCAAAACCTATAACAAGTTAGATTTTGAGAATCCAAACCCTCCCCACTCATAAAAAATGCAAAATCCTCCCCGACATTGCCCTCCCCACTCATAAATAATTTTCTATTATTTCTTGTTATATATGAAAAATAAATAAGTAAAATAACACAAATAAACAAGTTTTCTACTTATTTGACTAAAACATTTAAAAAATGCATAAACTATTAATTATCATTCATATAAAATTCAAAATATTATTAAATTTAACACCTAATATATAAAGTTTATTTGCTTTCTAAAAATATGCGAGTTGGAGGTTTAACCTAATACCGTATCCTACCTGCACCTATATAGGCTGTAGAATCCTAAAACTCATCTTTCAAACAAAAGAAACTACCCCATTAGGACGAATACCCACTAAATAGGATAGAAATTGCCATCCCTAATTACAACTCCACTTTCTATATCAAACAAGGTAGAGTCTGACTATGATGCCAAAAAGGCATATACCTATAATACTAATAACCTTATAATCAATCCATTGCTATTCATCAAAGTTCACTTGGGATTCTGATCAGCCAAAGTTCTTCGAGTATCATACTCTTTTGGCATCATATATATTATAAAGGGTAATTTTTTTAAACTACCCTTATGGTTTAATTAATTGACTAACTCTACACTTACTATTTAATTATTGTCTTGCACTACCCCTACTATTTCTGACAATTGCCTAATACCTCCCTTATATCGCTTTATCATAAACCACCCACATGTAACATCATGTGACCGTTATATTTTTTAAAAAATTATAACTTGCCCTTTTATAGTTAAAAATTCCTTTATCCGTTTGGGCAAGACAATTCTCCTCTTTCTTTCTCTTTTTTTATTTTTTATTATTTTTTTTTTATTTTTACAATGTTTTTATCTTCCCCTACGAAAACCTCCTAGGTGAGCTGGCCCCATTTTCGTGCATTGAAGCTCCCACATCTTTATCCTGTGATTCAGATGCAAAGGCACCATTACATCCATTTCCATTTTGTAACTCACTTGGTTCTCATTCTCCCATTCTAACAGAAACTCCGCCTTGCCTGTGGCCACTAGCGGTGTTGCCTGAATTGCTCGTGCTGGAAGAAGAACGGTAGCCACCATTTTTTATTTCCCTCTCCCACACGATCAAAGCCCTAACTGAAAAACAACAATACTCAACTTAAAACCACACGATCAAACATCTAAAATTACAATAAAAGGATGTCCTAGACAAGTATCACGGACTATGTTTCGCTCCATCGCCCACTCCTCTCCCCTTCGAGTACCAGAAGTCTTCCAACAATGATATGCAAGAGGAGAAACGGAGGACGAAACAACCATGGAAGGGACCATGTTAGGTTCATCCGCTGCTCTAATTGCAGCAAATGCTGACCTAAGGACAAGGCAATCAAGCGATTCCTTGTCAGGAACATCGTAGAATATGCTGCAGTTTGTGATGTTCAAGAAGCTAGCATTTATGATTCCAAAGCTATACACCAAGATGCAGTACTGCGTCTCCTGCGCGATCCACTCTCATGTGGTTCGTGTGAGGTCTCGAACCGACCATCGCAACCGTGAGCCTCTGTAGGCTGCAGCGTTTCCGGCGCAGGGAGGACTTGGGCAAGCCAGGACAAGCTCCACGAGTAGATGTTGCCGCTACTCCGGGCCGCACGTGAGGGGTGCTCAGTGCTCTCAACTCAATTCACTAGGCTTTATAGTTTTTTGTTTTATTTACATTAAGTAAATGTAGTCGATTGAGAGTTGATTTTGTTGATGGGATTTAACCTACCTACAAGTTCAGAATTCAGTGATAAACATTTTGACAAACAAAAAAACGGGGAGAAGTACAGACACATGCCTAATGCAGATTTGTGATTTACAATGCAGAGCTATAAACATTCAAAATGTCAAAAATCCCTATTCTATACACCAATGCCTGTGGATGGGCATCAATTCCGAACTGACACCCACCCCAACTGTACTTTAGGCCTAAAAATTTTGGCCCTGGGCTGAACTGTCATTCTCCCCCCAAAGACAAGTATCATGGATCTCCTCTCGTTCTTTACAATTAGAAACTAATCGGAGGCCCCCTAAGGAAACCGTCTCGAGGCGCTCTTAACGAGCAAATAAAACACAAACGCATGCACCACCGCTTTATATCTTAAGGGAATTTTAGCGAAAACGAAGACAGAGACAAAAACAGGGATCTTAAATTTTTTCTTTTATTGGATTTTATTTTAAAAATTTAAGGAATAGTAGAGGATAAATTTAATATCTTAAATCGATATCAATTATCAGAAATAATAGGGATAATGCAAGACAATACTTACAATTATCATAAACAATAGGGATAATGAAGGATAATAAAAAATTTGCCCTTATAAATTGTATGATAAAGAGAAAGTTTCTTAAATTACCCTTACAGTTTAGCTAATTGATTAAGTATACCCTACTGTTTGACTATTGTCTAATGCTATTCCTATTGTTTTTGGAAAACTACCATTACCGTTAAAATATTAACGGAAGGGCTGAAATGCCCATTTAGCCCTTAAGTCAAATTGAAAGCTCCTTTGGTTCTTCTTCATTTTCCTCAGTTTGTCTTCGCTGCTCAGGTCCAGATCTGGGTTCCTTCACATGAAATGAGGTGGGTAGGTATAAAGCTTTGAACAAATACAAAACAGCACCAACCTCTTTCTCTCTCACTCTCTCCCCTTCATTCTCTCTCCCTCTTGCCCCTGTTTCATCATCGTCATTGCTGCAAGTTGCAGTGGTGGCAGCAGACCTCTCCACATCTAGGTTTTGAAGCTTGTTGAAGATGTCCATGGTGTGCTTTACCAAAGCCGACTCCGCTTACACGATTCTTGATGAAATTAATTACCATATAATAGACGTTTGATCAGAGCTCCACCCAGAAATGCCCAAAAACCCAAAAAACCCACCAGTGACAATTCCCATTGGTTGAGTCTTTTTTTCCAACTGATTCCATTTTAGTATCGACAAAGCCCTATCAAAGGTAATTAGTCAACATTTAAACATTGCTTGGACGGTTGCCGAAGAGCCATGTGTTGCCACTGGTTTGAACGCCGAAGAGTTGATTCCATCTCCGGTTGTTAAATGAAAGCTAGGGCTCTTGTCATTCTAGCCTAGGACCCACAAATCATTGTTGGTGATGAAACAGTTTAGTTGTTCTTCCTCTCGTCCCTATTTCATCACTGCTGGCCCTTCTACATCCATGCTTGAATGCTACAGAGTGGAGTTGCCTCTGTAGGGAGCCGTCTCTGGTGAGATTGAGGCTCGGAGAGAACCAATGAAAAGAGGAATAACTTTTTTTGCCATCAAGATGGATTTTTACTTCACCACAGAGTGGAGCTTCTGGTTTTCATTGGCAAATTGGTAGGAAGTGCTAGTGACTCTTTAGAAGATAGTGAAGGAGGGAGAGGGATGAAGGGTAAAATTGGGTTTTAAAAAAATATTTATCACGAATATTAAAGAATGCTAACAGTAAGAATAGAGTTAGTCAAATATTAAAAACAGTAAGAGGACGATAGTCAAACAATAAGACTATACTTACTCAATTAACGAAATCATAAGAGCAGTTTAAAAGATTTACCCTATAATAAACTCCAACAGGGGTATAACAGTAAATTAAACCGGTGGGGATGGACCGCGGGCGGGGGGGAGCAGAAATTTTATACTCTTATACTTACAAACTTACAATTCATAGATCAATCATTGCCTCACTTGTTCGACTCCAGAACTACAATCGTCAAACACGCTTTCTTCCTTTTCCTGTCTTCCTTCATTTCTTTTGGGGGATTTCGTCGAACACCACAAAGAAGTAAGAAAGAGGAGCTAAACACTAGACGAGCGAGCAACAATGTCTCTTCGACCCAGTTCCCGAACCGATGTTCGCAAGAAATCCTACAAGACTGGCGTTGATGCAGACGAGGCTCGGCGAAGAAGGGAAGACAATCTTGTCGAGATCAGAAAGAACAAACGAGAGGACAATCTCCTAAAGAAACGCAGGGAGGGGCTTCTTCAAGCCCAGCAGCCTGCCGAACTTTCTCAAGCCACTTCTGGAACCGAGAAAAAGGTATTCCTTCTTGTCTTCAAAAATTCGGTTGATGTTTGTTTGTAAATGTTCGATGATTTGATCTTTTTCCGATTTTCCAAATTCTTACGATACGATGATTCCTGATTCTGCGTTTATCGGTTGTATTTTTATTGTTTGTTGTTTTTGTCTGTTCCAGAGTCGATTTTTTTTTGCTCTGTTTTAGTGTTGTTTGAGAAATTAATTCCTTATACTATTCCTTTTCATTTTTCTCTTTCCTCCGTTACCTGAGGTTGTAGATTGATGTATTAAGTTCTAATTTTCAAGAAAATAAAAGAACATTTCTAACATATACCCAACTTGCAGTTATATTTTTATTGTCAACCTCTCTTTCTCTCTCTATGTTAGTATCTGGATTCTAGAGGGACGAGAGTAGTGTTATTAGATTTAGATAAGAATTATAAGATTTACTACGGAGTACCATCTAGTAGTAATTGTTCTTTACTTTTTTCTCTTTTGTAATTGTTAATGTTGCAAACTTACATGTTTCATACAATCTTCATTTATTACGCTAACCTTCTGAAGCACAAAAAAGGATCCAATTATCTTATTAAGCAAAAAAAAAAAAAAAACTCGGGGATGGTTAAATAGGCTCTTTCTGACAAATGGCTATGGATGTTCAGTGAAAAAATAAAAGTTCATGGATAAGTGTTATTGTGGTCGAATATGGAAGATCAAACATTGGTTGGGTTAGTACTGAAAGTCCCACAATTGAAGTCTATAAAGTTGAGCAGTTCTTGAAAAACAAACAGTTCATCACGAAAGGGTTTTGTTTCCCTGTTAAAATGTACAATCTTCGGTGTCTCAGGTGCTTTTTCTTTTGTCCAATTGTTTGCATTATTTCATTCACCTTGTACCATAAGAGGACTGAAAATCTTCCCTTCTCTACTCCTGGATTCGTAAGTAAAGCCATCACTTAAGCAGATCTTGAATCAACAACACTGGTAATGCAGTCAGAAGGTTTTACTTCTATTTTGTAATGGAGTAATTGAACCCTGAGGTTGTTTACTTGACAAAGCACATGAAATGAGTACGTAACTTAAAACTAAATTAGAATAACAAATAAAATATCTGCAAATTATACCAAGGGACTTAATTAACACAGTTCCAAAAAATATGAAACCCCCTTCCAAAAGGGAATTAATACCCAAGAATCTATCTCCTGGTTTGATAATCAATAATAAATAAGCAGCCAAGATATCTAATAAATAGTTTTAGAAGTTTAAGTTGGAGGGTCTCACCTCTGATCTCGGTCTACAATTGATAAAACTCAGATTAGATGTTTGTATAAGTCTAGATCCGAAGAAAGAGAAGAAGAAGAGGGAGAAGAAGGAGAAGAAGAAGGAGGAGAGAAAAGAATTGTCTCTGCCGAACTAGAGAGAAAAGTTACTCTTCTCTAGTCGTCCCTTCTTTTATTTACTCTTCTAAAGTATACAAGAATTACTATTGTGCCCTCACTTAAGTGAGATCCACATCAGCTGAACAAATATATATAACTTAACATAAAAAGTCTATACTACCCTTCTACAACCGACTCTAACACTCCCCTTCAAGCTGGTGAGTATATGTTATATAGTCCCAGCTTGTTACATATGTAGTCCACTCTTCCCCGATTCAACCCTTTGGTAAACATATCTGCCCATTGATTTCCTGTGTTCACATATGTTGTACTTATCACTCCACTAAGCACCTTCTCACGTACAAAGTGACAATCCACTTCTATATGCTTCGTCCTTTCATGAAACACTGGATTAGAGGAAACATGAACTGCAGCTTGATTATCACAGTATAGCTTCATAGGAGTGTCAATCGAGTATCCCATCTCCTCTAAGAGATGCTTCAACCACACTAGTTCGCATGTTGTGTGTGCCATAGCCCTATATTCAGCCTCTGCACTGCTTCTTGCTACCACTGTTTGCTTCTTGCTTTTCCATGTCATTAAGTTCCCACCAAGAAAAGTGCAATACCCTGTAGTGGACCTTCTGTCAGATATGGAACTGGCCCAATCAGCATCCGTGTATCCCTCTATCTCAAGACTTCCTCCACTCTTATATAACAAACCGTGACCTGGAGCTCCCTTCAAATACCGCACAATCCTTAGGATTGCTTCCCAATGTGGAATTTGAGGATTCTGCATAAACTGACTCACTACACTGACCGCAAATGAGATATTAGGTTGAGTGATGGTTAGGTAATTAAGTTTACCTACCAACCTTCTGTACCTTCTCGGATCCTCAAACTCCTCACCTGCATCACTACCCAATTTAACATTTGGTTCCATGGGTGTTTCAGCTGGTCTGGCACGCAACAACCCTGTTTCTTCTAGCAGATCAAGAACATATTTCCTCTGGTACAGATTAATACCATTCTTGGACCTCGGTACCTCTATCCCTAGGAAGTATCTTAATTTTCCAAGATCCTTTGTCTGAAAGTGATCATGCAAGTAAGTCTTCAACCTGTCAACCCCTGGTCTGTCACTGCTTGTGATAACAATGTCATTTACATATACCACCAAGAGAATCTTCCCATCATATGATTCATAGTTGAATACAAAATGGTCAACCCGACACTGTTTCATTCCAAACTTCTTCACCACTTCACTAAATCTCCCAAACCATGCACGGGGAGATTGTTTAAGTCCATAAATAGCCTTCTTAAGTCTACATACCTTCTCACCCTCCCCCTGAGCAACAAACCCTGGTGGTTGCTCCATGTACACCTCCTTAAGGAGATCACCATGTAAAAAGGCATTCTTGATGTCAAGCTGAAACAAGGGCCAATCAAACATAGCAACAAGAGAAATCAGAACACGAACTAACCCAATTTTGGCGAATGGAGAGAAGGTGTCCATGTAATCAATACCATATAGCTATGAATAACCTTTGGCAACTAACCGAACTTTCAACCGTTCAACACTCCCATCAGGTAAGTATTTAACCGTGTACACCCACTTACAGCCGACAACATGCTTACCAGGCGGAAGAGTGGTGAGGTGTCTCACGTATGAGTACGAGTCAGGGCTGAGAGTTCTTCTTCCATTGCTTGGTGCCACCCTGGAGAAATGAAGGTTTCCTGGACATTCTTGGGAACATAGACAGAGGATAACATAGAAACAAGTTGACGATGGGAAGCCGAAAGGTGAGATACAAAAACATAATTGGAAATGGGGTGGAGAGTGCAATTGCGTTTACCTTTTCACAAAGCAATAGGGAGATCAAGATCAAAAACCGGGGGTGGGACAGGGATGGTAAAAACTGCCAGATCTGGCGACGGTGATGAAGCTGGAGGAGGAGCCGGTGCTTGACGATGTGTATACACTTGCCGGATAGGTGGTCATCCCGCAGGTAGCTGCATTGGAGGCAAAGACTGGGTCACAATTGGAACAAGGGGAACGGGGTCCTTAATAGGAACGGGAAGAGGAGGTGATGGCAATGGAGGAGATGAAGTATCCGACTCAGAGAAGAAAGGAACAAACTCAAAGAATGTAACATCAGAACACACAAAAGAATGCCGAGAACGAGGATTATAACACTTATACCCTTTTTGAGTCCTGGAATAGCCAAGAAAGACACACTTAGTGGATCTAGCATCTAACTTGTCCATTCCAGGCCCAAGATTATGAACGAAATACACACATCCAAAAACTCTGGGAGTAAGGGGAAAATGAGACAACCTGGGAAACAAAACAGAGAAAGGGGACTAACCTTCAAGGATAGACATGGCCATGCAGTTAATAAGAAAGCAGGATATAAGCATAGCATCACTCCGAAAGGATAGACATGGCCATACACCAATCTAACTGCATGTAGAGTCTTAGTCGATTTACTAACATACATTAGGTTAAAGGGAAACTTGGGAACATATAAAACTGATGATAGGGATAATGAGTCTATGTCAACATTACCAACACCACATATGGCTGATGTAGAGACATTGGAAAGAGTAAAAAATTGGGATATGGAGGACGGAAAAATGGATGAAAACACACCTGGAGTCCTAGTCATATGATCGGAAGCTCCAGAATTTATAATCCAACGGGAAGGTGTGGATGCTAGACAAGCCGTACCTGAGTGTGCAAGGGTAGCCGTGTTCTGTTGAGATGTACCCTGAATGAACCGCTCATACTCATCCCGTGAAACACTCACCATCTCCTTTCTGGAAGCATCTATAGATGTAGTGGGGATCTGATCAGTAACTTGAGATTCTTGTCTTGAATTACCACCATTTACAGCTGCATGATTTGCCCAGGTTGAAGGTGGGCCATGTATATCATAGCAGAAGTTGATAGTATGTCCCTCCATACCACAATGAGTACACATTCTCTAAGTATTACCACGTCCTCTACCACGGGCTCCCCCTAAGTCTCGACTTCTAACATGACCACCACCACGACTATACATTCCACACCACCACGACCATACATGGGTCCACCACCACTACTACGGCCAGGTTGACCTCCTCTACCACCACGACCTCCCCCTCTCGTAATTGCAAATGCAGACCTATCCGATATAGTGGAAGTCTGTGGGTCCAACTGAAATCCTCCGAAGACGAGCAAACACTTCCTCAAGAGAAGGAAGAGCAGATCCACCTAGTATCTGTGCCCTTACTGGTTCATATTCAGAATTGAGCCCTACTAAAAATCTGGTCACATCTAACTGCTCTCTCCTGTTGTTGTTGAATTTTGACATCAGGTGTAAGAGGGTGATAAACATTCAGCTCATTTCGTAGATTTCTCATACTTGCATAATAGTCCTCAAGACTCTGATTCTCTTGTTGCAAATTGAAGTACTCTTGGTACAGTTGATAAGCCCTAGTAGTGTTATCTTGTCCAGAATATAGTTTCCTTGCATGTAGACCTGTTCATGGGCCGGGCTCGGGCCGAGCTTTCACTTGTCACTAATGAAAATATACTAGGCCCGAGCCCGAGCCCGGCCCTGGTAAAAAGCCCGAAGCCTGTAGCCCGACCTAATTGAAAAAAA